TTGACATTTTGACAGAAACCCTTCAGAAGAATCTAAGTATGAATTCGAGTAAAAATAAGTACCATGGGAATAATAATAGGAATAATAGCAGGAATTTTAATAATAATAATAGGAACCTTAATTATAACAGTAGAAATTTCGATAATAATTCTAATAATTTTGGTAACAACAATGGTAATCATTTTAACAATAACACTAGATATAATAATAAATATCAAAATTACAATAATTTAAATCGAAATACAGACGGTCATTTTTACAATTCTAATAATAATAATAATAATGGTAACTACAGAAACAATAACAATTTTAATAATAATAATTCTTATAATAATAACAGATTTTCTAATAATACAGGCCAAAATTATAACAATAATAATGGTGGGCGAAATCAGGGCGCAGGAGGTCCGTCTACTAATAAGTGGGCCCCATATCAGCGGCGCCCGCAGCAAACTCAAAAAAACGAATAAGTCAAAATTCGATGGTTAGGGCGAATTTTGACACTCTTTCGCGACCTAGCCAAAAAGTTCAATCACCAGCTCCCATTACGAAAGCAACATTAGCGCAAAATAATTTAAATATCACAGGTGTCTCTAATTGTTTTAACATTTTTTCAAATTGCGCATCGGTCCCTCAACCTATAATAATTGGGAAATTAAATAGTATTGAGTCAAAGTTTCTTATTGATACGGGGGCATCGATTAGCATAATAAGTAGCGCTACACTTCCCATGAATCATGATATTATTCCAGCCCAAAACGCATCCCTTACTACAGCAAATGGGTCCCCTTTAGATTTATTAGGTACAACCTCAATTGAAGTAAATTTCTGTGAGCATAGTTTTATTATTGAATGCGCTGTCGTTAAAAACTTAAATGGGTATAATCTTTTAGGTAATAGTTTTCTACACAAATATAAGGCTAATATTGATATGTATGATTCGAAAATTATTTTATTTGACGGACCACATAGGGTGACCGTACTCTTCGAAAAATTCAGTTCTAGCAATGTCGCAAATCATATTCTTTCACACAAAGATTCTACCAATGTTTCTATTGAGTCCACAGCGGCGCGTATGCAGGTTTCAAAAAATATCCCACGAGACGGCTTTTGCGGCGTAAATACATTAGTAGAGGTGTTGAAAAATAAAAATATTAATGTTAATTTTCATGATATTCAAGTATTACTAGGCGTAGATTCTGCAAGTCAGCCTGTCTGGCTTGAGGCAGAAGATCTAGCAGCCGTCGCGTCATATTACAATAAAAATTTAATTGTACTTTCCCAAGATAACAATTGTTCGGACGTAAATGTTATCGCATTCACAGAATTCGATCGAGATAACGTGTTTGTTTTATTTTCCCACTGTCATTGGTCTCCATTAGAATACGTAAAAAATCCTAGTGTTAATTTTAATATTAAAACAATTGTGCATATTAATGACAATATTTCAGTCGCCGACAGGCGTAAAATTCTAAACTCCAGACAAAAAAATTATGATTTTACCGAACACTTCAAACAAAATGATGCGTCAACACCAGACGTACACTTCGAATCTCAGGTTAACGAAACATGTTTCGCGGAAAAAGAAACAACATCTTCTCTAGCAGACGTTTCACAAAAGGTAGAATTCGATATTAACCCGTCTTTATCTCACGATAAAAAACAAAAACTTGAAACGTTGTTGAATAATTATAATGAAATTTTTTCAAAGACTAAATTCGACTTGGGCGAGGTAAAATTACCAGATATTGAATTAAAATTAAATCGCGATCAAATAATAAATTTACCGAATTTCAAGTTAAGCGTTAAAGAACGGGCCGAGGTAGAAAAACAAACTAACGAGTTATTAAAGGCCGGCATAATAGAACCGTCAAATAGTCCATATAGTAATCCGGTATTTTTAGTAGGTAAAAATCTCCCACAGGGTGACAAAAAAGGGGCCACCCCTAAGGAGTATCGCATGGTTTTAGATTATAGAAAATTAAATTCGATTTTATTAAAAGAAAGTTTTCCCATGCCGATAATTCAAAATATATATGACTGCTTAGCTGGTAACCACTATTTTTCATTATTAGACGCGTCCAGTGGTTTTTATCAATTCAAACTATCTAAAAATTCTCGACAATATACAGCTTTTTCTACTGATACGGGACATTTTCAATTCAAAAGACTTCCAATGGGACTTAATAATGCTCCAGCAATATATCAGGCCGCTATGTGCAAAATTATGGGAGGTCTTACTTATAAAAATAATATTTGCTACTTAGATGATTGCACAGTTTTTGGAAAATCTTTCGATCAATATTTATATTCGTTAGACATAACATTACAAAGATTTAGACAGTATAATCTAAAATTGAAGCCATCAAAATGTAAATTCGGATACGAGGAAATACAAGTACTCGGTAATATCATAAATTCGAAAGGCATTAGGCCAACCGATGAGGGCATTGAATCGGTAAAAAAATTCCCTTCCCCTAACACTATTAAACAACTTCGTAGTTTTTTAGGACTTGCCAATTATTTCAGAAAATTTATTCCTAACTTTAGTAAACTGGCAAAACCTCTTACAGATCTCACTAAGGGTAAATTTAAAACAAAAAATGAAAAAATTAAATGGTTAACTGAACATGAAACAGCATTTAAAGAGCTAAAGTCTAAACTTACGACACCTCCACTCCTCGCGCATTTTAACGTAAATTTGGAAACTATACTAGTAACAGATGCTAGTAAATTAGGTCTAGGTGTTATACTTCAACAACGTGACGATAATAACGAAATTCATCCAATCTCTTACGCGTCTAAAAAGTTAACGCCCGCCGAGTCCAATTATTCCGCAATGGAACTCGAGGTTTTAGCTATTCATTTCGCGTTTACCCACTATAGGCAATATGTTCACGGTAGGAAGATTGAGGTTTGGACTGATCATAAAAACTTGACAAGTTTTATGAACATAAAAACTGAATCTAACGTTGTAAACAGGATACGAACGAAATTAATGGGCTATGATTTTGAAGTAAAATATAAAAAAGGTATTTTTAATAGGGCCGCGGATCATCTATCGCGTTATCCCAGTTCAAGTGAACTAATTAATATTTTAAATTCGAATATTAAAAATGATATTTTTAAAATAAATCTTGTTCAACCTATTAATATTGCTGTAGAACAAGCAAACGATGCGTACTTGAATAACATTATAGGTGCTATTAAAAACCCTATCTCATCAAATTCGTTTTATTTAAATAAGGCCGACAATTATGAAATAAAAGATAATGATATATTGTATTACAAAACGAAAATTAGACAAATCCCTGTATACGCACTTGCTTTACCTTCAAAATTTATTAAACAGGTAATAATTGATAATCATGATAGTTTATTAAGCGGGCATATCAGTTTTTCAAAAACACTAAACAAAATTAGGAGTAAATATTACTGGCCAAAAATGAGAAAAGATATAAAGTCATATGTTCTGTCATGTGAAAGGTGTCAAAAGAGGAAACCATATAAACAAAGTAAGCCACCGAAAGTAGGGAGATACGATTTAGACAAGTGTGAGATTATGAGTGAAATAATTATTGACTATGTTGGTCCCCTTCCAAAGTCGAGATCTTATAAGTATATTTTAGTAGCTACTGATCGTTTATCAAAATTTTGCGTAGCTCAACCATTTACAAATGCCAATGCGCGTAGTACCAACAAATTTCTTTTAGACTTATTCTTAAGATTTGGTCCAGCTAGGATAATTAGGTCAGATAATGGAACTCATTTTACGTCAAAGACAGTTTTAGACCTAATGGACGCTTTTGGGGTAGACAAAAAATTCGGAATTCCGTATAAGCCTACTTCACAAGGTCAGGTGGAGAGGCAAAATCAAACAGTTATAGACATGATATCACATTACGTTCAGGATAACAATAAGTGGGTAGATTATTTACCATACGTTGTATACGCCTATAATACTTCAATACATTCGGTTACAAATTATACGCCATTTTATTTAGTTCACGGCTATAATCCTAAAAGCATGTTTGATATTGCACTAATTCCCCCTTCCGATGGGAACGTTATCGATGAAATTAATAAAATCAAACATATTAGAAAATCATTACCCCAATTATTAGAGAAACAATCCGAACAAACTAAACAAAAACTATTATCATCGAATAATTTTCACTCGTTTAAAGCGGGAGACAAAGTCTTAGTTAAAGTCCCGGTAAAGGGTAATAAATTTTCAGATAGGTATGAAGGCCCTTATATTATTTTAAAGAAAATAGGTCCATATAGTTTTTTAATAAATCTGCCAAAAAACAATATTCTGGTCGAATCACCTGTTCACGTAGACCAGTTAAAACCGTTCGTTGCTAGAATATAAAATTCCGTCAAAATCTCAGGTCGGGCCCATAACTAAATTATTAGAAAGGCAAGTAGCAAGAGGAAGATAAGAAGAAAATTAGAGATTTTGGCCGCAACGTAGTAATACCGACAAATTGGGTCACATGTATTACAATTGGAGTGGAACTGTTCGAGTACCGGCACCATGTCAATTAGCACATAAATTGGCATTCTTAACAGGTCAAACTCTTAGAAGTGCTCCTAATACGAGGGTCGCACGGTATGGTTTAGAGGTTTGGGTAATCCATTTTAATAATCAGGCAAAACATATTAAATATAATAAGAAGGTCTTTAAATTTTATTATAATAATTCATTTTCTGCCATTCTGATAATATACCCGGCGCCTCCACCAATTGTTACGTCGCTATTTAGGGGTTTAACCTAAATGCCCGTCGACAGTATTCTAAGGGACCAACGGGGGATAGCTGGCTAGGCTATATCTACCTTAGGTACTGAAGTTTCCTATTTAATTTATATTCCCTTAGAGGAACTACCAAGGGTCGCACTACAATATATATATATAACACTTTAGGTTAACAACGATATAAATAAATATTTATTAAACAATTGAAATATTAAATGGATAATACAACCTGCTGGACACCTAGAGATGATTAATCCAACAGGGAGCTGACGGCGACACACACACACACTATAATATACGGGGTAGCGAAGTTAAGTTAATTATTAGGCAAAAGTAGTGATCGCGAAGATGGTAAAATGTCAACTGTCGATAGGGATATCTTATTATGGCACATTGGCCGTGAATTGCAAAAAGTGTTTATGTGTGCAGTCCGCCCTCCTGTTAGTATTGCTGTATGTCACTGTGTTAATTATATATATATATATATATGTCTATTAAACGGTAAAACGATGTTATGGGAGACAGAGATATGGGCACATGCAAATGTGATCGTATCAGTTTGATTAATAACCGCCGTCGCCGCTTGATTACACCTTTCACT